TGGTCTAGAGTGGGATTTCTGTCGCCTTGGTCCGTCTCTTTCTCGCGATCTGGCAGCCAAGGGTGCTTTTCTCGTGAGATTTCGATCGCACTTACCACAAATCCTTCGAGCACGAGATACAGTGCATGCAACGTGAGTTTGGCGATAAGCTGGCTCAACAGACCCAGAGCGCTGATGCGGGCCAGAAGCACTGGCTGACGAACGCTCAAAATACCTTGAAAGAACGCGAGTGAATGCTCAAGTCTCAATGGTCTAACTTCGAACAGCAACTCAAGAAGCGAGAAGAAGAATGGAAACTTGAGAGGGAAGCGACGGCGACCGACATGCAAAACCAGATGCTAAAGGTACTTCCAGCCGCCATGTCCAAGATTTCCACCAATTCAACTGGTATGCAGTCTGATTCTCTGAGTTCCCCTGATCTGGCAACTCCGAATACAGTACGAGCGGTCGCAGCCAAGAATAGACAGACACCCATCATAGGTGCGTCATCGACAGTGGCTTCCGTCCAGCAGATCCGTACGGTCAACCAAAAGCGATCGATCAAGCGGCAGACACTTCCAGTCAAGAGCGCCACTCGCCAAGAGTCGCCAAATGCGTCACAGACTCCACCTACTGCGAGGCGAATGGGGCCACAAGTTGCGAGAAGGTCTGCTGCAAGAAAGGAAGACTCTATATCATCGTTGTCGAAGAGGACACAGCCGAAAAAGGCGAATGAGAAGTCTGACCCTCCTCCTGACGACCCGGATGACTCGGAACCCAGTGATAGTGACAATGATGCGAGTCGAGGAGGAAGCTCCGATTCCAGTGATGCTGAAGGATTTTTGAGTGAATATGAAGACATCGGGATGACCACGACCACGACTACGGCTGATGGAACAACTATATGGAATTGTAGACCCTACATTGGCTACACTAACCTGGAAAAGTTTGATGAAAAGATGTCCAGGGATAATCAGGTCAATTGGTGGGAGCGATTCTCGTATATGGCATCTCAGGGATCCTGGTCAGACACAATGAAGATTCGTCAGTTCAGGAGCCGGATGCCCACAGCGATCAGGGACTTGTTTACGCAGCTACCCAAATCTACACGTCACGATTGAAAACAAATGACACGCAGATTTAGGAAGCTGTATATCGGTACCACAGGTTCATACTCGGAAAGGTACTTCACGATGAAGATGACCGACCACGAAACCCCATTGCAGTTCTTCTATCGTCTGAATGCGGCTGCGGACAAGGCTGATGGTAAGTTTAAGTCGAGCTCTAAGCTATGTGAGTATCATATTTGAAGATTCATCAAGAAACTTCGAAACGATCAGCTGACGACAGCTCTCAAAGGGCACAGGTTTCAGAGTATCGCGGACTTGGAATGAGCGTTACGTCGCCATGACGATGTTTGGCGTGAAGAAGGGTATGACTCCCCAGCTCCTAAGAATCCCAGAGATTTCCGTGCCGACAACGTCCATCAAGGCCGGACTCAGAATCGTGGACCGACCAGACGTCAGGGACGCGCTTTTGTGTCTCAGGGGGACGCCGAACCCGCGCAGGACTCAGAGTTTCAACGCGAGCCTCAGAACGCTGAAGTGTTTGCAGAACAGGCAGAGGCTCACTCGAAGTCGATCCCAGATTTCTCCAATAGAGGAATTGAGGGGGAAGTATTTCGGGTCGCAGAAAACCAACACTGGAACCTAGCCTTCATACAGACCAAGGTGTAGCGCGACCAGAGAATTGGGATGTCTTCTGTGAGAAAAGTAAGAAGTGGGGGCACCCTGAAGGCAACCGTTGGACCGGAATGATATGTGAACAATGTCAAGCCAAAACACACCCAGCCAGAGTCTGTATCAGAACACCTTGTGCAGAATGTGGAGGTTTTCACGGTGGAATATCGTGTGAACAGTGGAGAGCTTTCCAGTCAGTAATGCCACTGGCAAAGCAAGGGAATGCAAGTGAATTATCAACCCAATTTCGAAGTCTCCTTCAGACCAAGGATCACGCTTCAGGTGCGCAGCAGTTACACCACTAAGCCCGACGGATGGGGATCCGGTACGCGACGGGCCTAAGAACCCCCTGAAATGTGTGTTAGTCTGTATAGGACCAGAACGAAGGACGCAACTACTAGATAACCAACAATGTATGAATTTAGTTCAAGATGAAATTATCTACCCTGAACAATTGTACTCAGTGTATCAGCGTTCAAATGACCCGATTCCAGACATCTCCGAGCCTGAATCTCAGGATCCTTTGGAAGTGCCACTGAAACCGGGTCAGATGGTGCAAAAATCACGAAAATGGAGACATGCATGGATTGGCGACAATACATGGAGCTGTAAATGACTCCAACACCAGAATTTTATTGGACACTGGCGCGTCCGTGAGCATTATGAATCTTGATCTAGCGCGTAGACTCAAGCTCAAGCTCCGGACACACCGTCAAATCAAAGTTTCTGATTTGGGAGGAGTGACTATACTCATGCCCGAGTGAAGATAACACTTGGATGGAACGTGGTGTACGTCCTAAAGATTTGGGTCGGGAATATCGGAGAAGGTGTCGACGTCTTGCTAGGCATGAACTTTATGTATTCGGCGAGTGTCAGACTCTGTATACGAGAAGGTTTAGTCAACCTGCCAGACGAAGAGACTGTGGTTATGTATTATGCTTATCCAAAGTCTTGTGGTATAGATCTCCCTGTGTGCCCAGATGAAAGTACACACCTACGTCCTGGTCAGGAGGATATTGTACGAATCAGGTATGACCAGTCCAACCCTCAACGCGAGTTGGTGTGGGCTGGGAGAGGCAAAAACTGGGTGACTAGAGTCTTGTATTTTGCTAGACCCTGAGAGACTGCAGTCAAGGTTGTCAATATTTCAGACCAAAATGTCTGGATTGATACTAGGATTGTTGTTGCCCGTATCGTGGAGTACGGGCAGTTCCCAGGGCAACCTGGATTCGTTCGTCCTGGGAAGGCGTGGTATAAAAGTGGCAACAATTAATTCATGAGTGTACCGTTTCACGTCAGGCGATGATGCGGCTGAACGGTTAGAGCAGATTCTCAAGGAAAGGGAGCCTCCGTGCACTCGGACTCAGAAATATCAGTGGTCTACCAAATCCTTAATGCGTCCACATCCCCAAGCAGCTGAGGTGCGGGTGGTGAAGTTGTAGGAAAGGCCGAAACCTTTGGGTATGACATTCAAGGTCACCAGAATTTCAGTGGTTGTTATGAAGACAGTCGTGATAGACTCCGAGGACTGAGAGGCAAAGGGGGCCCATTCAGACCCGGGTCCAGCATTTAAGGTCCCGGGTCTGGAGAATGCTGCGGACGCCGAGGATAGTGTTCTGGTTGAAGAAGAGCCAGTGGATGCCCAGTCCCAAACGAGTGATTCGACACCGGTCCAAAGCCTGGAACCAGAATATGCTCGGATGATGCAAGTCTCGGCCGAAGAACTGGACCTGGAACCTGCCGTATATATTTGATAAGGAAGTGATTTGATGGCGCAGCTACGAGACCAACTTATCATGCTCCCGGCAATTGAGGAACCGACCCCAGAATGTAACATCGACGAAGCAAATGTCGGGGTCCCTGGGGTCACAACCCCAGAGATGTAGTCGAAGATGAGAGGTTCCTGAAACGCCATCGTAACATCTTTCTGGGAGATGACAATGCAGCTCCGACTCCGGCTAGGAGCGTAGTGTGTGATAGCGATGTCTGTGAAGTGAAACCAGTAGCTTTGTGTGCAAGAAAGATTGCGGCACCGTTCTTGGTGAAGGTGTTTGAACTCCTGAAGAAGTTGTTAGAGGCGGAGTTCATTGAGCATTCAGACTCCGCGTAGTCATCACCTACTGTGATCGTGCTGAAGAGGAATGGCGTAGACATCAGGATGTGCATCGCCTACCGGCTTTTGAATTTGCTCATCAAGCTATCCCGCTACCCTTTATGTCTGATTGATGATCTGCTGGTAGACTTTAAATCCGCGATGCGGTTTATGAGTCTCGATATGGCGAGTGGATTCTGGGCGGTGCGTATGACTGAACGTGCGAAGTTGATCTCTGCGTTCGTCTGCCCGTTTGGCCACTTTCAATGGTTCAGAATGTCTTTTGGATTGAAGAATGCGCCGCTAATTTATCAGAGCGTCATCAACAACTGTCGGTGAGGATTCATCCGTCTACCTCCTGAAGAAGAAGCGATGGTTGACCCAGAAGTTCTAGAGTTCCTGAATCTGGAGCCTCAAGAAGCCCTGGAACCTGCAGTGGAAATATGGGATTCAGAGATTCCATCACTGGATATGACTGTATTCCGACGCAATATTCCGGCTCCATCACAAATGGGTCCAGTCCTGGGGAGAAGCTCATATATTGACGATATAGCTCATGGGGCGTCGACCTGGGATCATTTATGTGAGGTCCTGGACGCGTTGTTATACAGCTGCGAAAAATTATTACTCTGTAAGCTTGCCGAAGAGTGAATCGGAAAGTTGACTACCCATTCCTTTCTCATGAAGTGAGTGCAGACGGAATCAGAGCCTTGCCGAAGATCGTCAAAGGCATAGAGGACTTACCCTTTCCATCAACTTACAAAGGGGTACAGTCCTTCTTAGGCAGTCTGAATTACTACAATAAATTTATTGAGAACTTACCAGTAGTTGCCGCTGTGCTATACGAACTGGACGAAGAGCTCGTACGTGCTGGACGGAATCTGGAAGGCGCGAAGGAGTCCTTCGAGAACTGAAACGTAAGATCGTGTCGACCCCGCTGCTGCGGCATCCAGAGAGAGCGAAGCCTTTCGTGATTAATGCGCATGCTAGCTCGTGGGCAGCGTGGGCAGTTTTGGGTCAGGAACACGAAGGACTCATACATCCAGTACGATTTTCTGGCAGAGTGTTGAAAGAATCAGTTACCATATAGCTGAGAAGGAAGAGCTTGCAATCTTGCGGACTCTGGAAGTTTTCAGACCTCTGATCCATGGATCAGAATTCCCGGTTGTGGTGTATACGCGGTACTCTGTGCTAAAGTGGTTACTAGAATCCAACACTGCAGACGGACGGAATCTGAAGTGGGGGCTGGAACTATCAAGATGGATACTGAAAATTCATCGGACTCAGAAAGATAAGGACGGCCTTGCAGTCATCCTTGGGTCCGGTATCACTCCCAGGGAACATTTAGATAAAGTTGCAGAAACCCTGATTCCCGCCAAGGGGCGTCTGAAAGTGATGCCCCCAGTGAGTCTGGAGATGTTGGACGCAAACTATCAAGACTATGTTCTGAGTTTCGATGGCGCTGCGAAAGTTTCTACTCGCCGAGGAAGCTGCAGGCGTATATTGGGGAAGCTACCAGGGTGGCAGGTTGTGAAGGCTGAAGGACACATCCTGGAAGGTGTGACGGTCAACGACGCTGAATACCATGGTTTAATTCTGGGTTTAAAGCTCGCTATGAAGTTCGATCTGAAGGAGCTCGTGGCAGTTGGTGATTCCCGAATCATCATCCAACAAGCCTGATCAATTGTAATCAGCCTAATTTGCAACGACGCTTGGTTGAATATGAGACTCTCAGGAAGAATTTTGTGTCTGTGAAGTTGATCCATGTTAAACGTGAATTTAACAAAGCGGCCGACTACTTGACCTCAAAGACCCTTGTGCTTGGAGAATCCTAGGAGCTCGATGCCCCAGACGAGATAGTACACCTACGTCCCGTATCCAGAATCCCTGAATCGATCATAAAGCCTCCGGAAATCCCAGGTACCCCTGCGACTGATGCGGTTTGTACGGACCAAGTCGAGTTTGAAAAGAATAATCCCGAGCCCGGAATACCTGAGTCGTTAGCTGCCGCTGCTGAGGCACAGGTGGTGAAGACGAGATCACGTGCAGAAGCAGACACAGGTTCTTGGACTCTTGTAGACCAGTCTGGACACCAGGATGAACGTTGGAGGAGAATAAAGGTTCACCAAGACGAGGATCCGTGGATTCAGCAAATGAAAATGGTTCTAAAAGGAGATGTGTCAGATCCTCCACGGAAACAGGTGAAGAAGATGGCTAAGGTTTCCGATCAATTTGTGTTGGATTTACGAGAAGACTGAGTGCACCCACTCCTGAAAGACCACGCAATAAACAGTCGGAGATCAGACTAATGGTCCCAGAGACTCTACGTGTGGATATGTTATATTATTTGCATGAAGCTTTTCAGGGTGGTCACCAAGGAATCAACAGGACATTTGAGACTCTACGTGTGGATATGTTATATTATTTGCATGAAGCTTTTCAGTGTGGTCACCAAGGAATCAACAGGACATTTGAGAGCGCTTACGCTCAAAGTTCTACTGGATCGGGATGTACGGCGATGTTCAGAAGTTTGTGAGAGAGAGGATAGATTGTGCGTCAGCCAAGGGACGACCACCGGTGCTTGACCCGTCACCTGGCAATATCGAACCAAGATATCCGTTCGCTCTATGGATTTCGTCACTGAACTACCTGAGTCCGATCGTGGCAATACATACTTATTGCTGTTCCAAAAACAATTCTCAGGTTACGTCATATGCAAACCCATGGGGAATACTGAAGCCTAAGATTTTGCGGAAACGTACGAGGAGTGCGTGTTCCGAAGATTGGGAGCAAGTTTTATGATCAGACATGACCAGGATCCCCGCTTCATGAGCAAGGTGTTCGCGAGATTCAGAGACCTTCTCAAAAGTAAGCACTGTGCGACGTTGGGATATCGGCCTCAGGCCAATGGACAACAAGAATGCTCGGTCCAAAACGTAAAGCGAAGTGTCAGAGCGAATGTCGCTGAAGTTGACCGGAACGACTGGGATGAACATGCAGAACGTCTCATGTTCGCCTTGAACACTTCGTTTGACGCTGCGAGATTGGACACCCCATTTTATCTAGTCCATGGCTGGGACGCCCAAGGAACCATATCTGCAATGCTGGGCCCGAAGCCATCCACAGTTCAAGAACGGACGGCTTTGGAGTGGCGTCGGAAAATGCAACGGGATTATAGCTCTTGCATGCACCGAAGACTTGCAAAAGAAAGCGAAGCGTGTGAGATCTGCAGCACAAACCCGTAAGTGGAGAGAACTTTCGGATCGTGTAAAGGCAGGTTTCGAAGCTGGTCATTCTGCCTGGTTGTATATTCTCAAATACCGTACAAGATTGGGCCGCAAGCTAGCTGACTTGTGGCACGGACCTTTCCGAATCGACAAAATACATGACGACTTCAGAGTCAAGCTCAAAATCCCGGATACAGGTTACCGTGTGAATCCGTGGGTCCACACTAGTCGCCTCAAACCTAGAGCTCTGTTCCCTAAGCGACCGACCTCAGAGATACAAGTCTCAGAAAAGACGATTTTGATGCAGCCTTGCTACCCGAGGATAGTTGGGAACCGGACACTGCACAAGATGAATATGAGTTTGAGGAGATCCTGGACCTCAGGTGGATCAAACGTACATGGACCTCCAATCGATCTCGGGAATATCTAGTTAAGTGGAAAGGATGCACGGATCCAGAGTGGATACCTCTGGTCCAATTTAATTGTGGGGCATTGCTATACGAGTTCGACCAAGGTGCTAAAGCAAGAGCACGTTTCCAAGCTATGCAATCCGGAGACGATCACCCTGGGAACTAGGGTCGAAAATAGTCCGGCCCAAGGAACTTGTATGTGTGAACAGGATAGTATTAATTTTGAGAGCCAGCATGTCTTACATGGCGAGGATTATCCTTGAGTGGTAAAAAAATCAAGACATGAGAAGTGAGAAGTGAAGAAATTCGGCATTAATGAACTTACTTCATGAGACCTAAAGAGAGGAGGATAACTCCGACATCCAGAGTACGTGGAGAGCAACAACTGACGAAAGGGGTTCACGCTTGAGAAGCAGCAGACAAGGGAATCCCATTCCGGGCTTGGCGTTCGGGCTTCATGAGCTTCGAGTGCATAAACGCAGGGACTGAGGCCAGAATGTCATCTTCACAGTGTACCGCAGCTCATTGAGTACGGACGGGGTCTTCCACGTCCAAATCGTTAAGCTGAACAGCGAAGTCAGGGACTTCACGACGAATAAGGGGCGAACGTTCAGGTTCCTTAAGAATCCAGTGGCACGCACACACAGGAAGTGTCCACAGACCAGGTTCGTAAAGCATCGTCCTCGGAAAGCCAGCGATTGCGAATTTAAGTAAAATGCACTAAATACACTGTGACGATGTGGATTATAATTCTGAGAGATGGAGAGACGAGAGAGTGAAGTAATGTGCTGATTGGGGAAGATGAATGAGTTCAGAGCTGGCACCTGCGTGAGACATGGAGAGAGGCAGTTCTAGATGAAGGAAGAGCTGGCAGGTGTGTGCTCAAGGAAGGAACCATAGGCTCGGAAGTGATTATCCAGGATAAATGGTCGTCCAGGATAGATAGCCACCCAGAATAAATATCCATCCAGGGTGAATGGCCATCCAGGATTGAGAACCATCCAGGATGAAATGAACCACTCGGTCCGAGTCGCCAATACCCTGACGATAGGTACTCCAGGCAGGGAGAAGAGCGCCCTGAAGAATGTATCCCGGACACCCACCTGTCCTGACTTGAGCCGCCCTGGTGTTACAGCAACCAACCTCGACTACGAATGTGTTAACAAGTGCCTCAGAGGTGTCGCCACGTGATGTGCGACGAATGATCACCAGGATTAACCACGCTGATGAAGGACATTCAGGATTGACGAGAGTCCTCTCTGGACGACCAAGTGCAGACGTGGTTGGATGTCGAGTCGACCAAGTGCAGACATGGTTGGATGTCGCTCAAGACCCACACAGGTCAGCTCGTCACGACGTACAGACATCTATCGACACGCGAGGTCTGCGGGAACCATCAACATTTGATGTGTCTACCGGTAGGTTAACTTCCCATACTGAAGTCTAGAAGCCAAGACGTGCAAGCACCGTCATCATTGATGAGTGTATGAAGAGAATCAAGAAGAAGACCCCAAGAAGACATAAGATTGTAAGACGTTAAGATTTAAATAGAGTTCAATTTGCCGTGGAAGAGTTAAGTGAGGATAAGCTGCCTTACTGAACGCGCTGAGGAGCCCGAGCTGAGGACCACTAAGGCCACATCGACACACGAGTACGTTGTGTGGACTCTCAACAAGTTTCAAGTTCCAGTTAGCAGGGGACCAAGACCGATCGTGCGGCTTGGGTTGATCCTGACTATTCCATATTCCAGTTGCAGGGTATTCGCGTAAGTAAGTACCCGCATTTCATATTAACGACTGCGATTCAGGAGGTTTGCTAGTGATCACCCCTGGGTTTTGTATTGAGAATTGCTAAGAAGTGAAAGGAAGTGTATTGGATTGATAAGAAGTCTCTGAAATTCAGGGTGGTGCGTGTGAGACAAGAGTGCATCCAGGATTGACCAGTATCCTGGGTGTGTTACTCTAAGTGAGACTGGTGAGAAGACCCACCGTTCAAGGGTCCGAAAGAATAAGAACGGTTACATATTAGTGACGTATATTGAACTCTGCATATTTAGGTTAGTCTAGGTTGAGAACTCCCCTCGTGTTCTACTAACCTCTCCCCAGTTGTGACCAGTGCCCGATCCTGAATTGTCGGCAGCACTCCACATCCTGGAATACATTTATCCTGGACAACTCCCCGGTGAAATAACTGTTCCGCCGAATCAATCAAACCGACAGGGATAACACAAGGACACACGTCCATTCAGGGTGACTTGTCATCCTGAGTGTCCAAATT